ACAAATTTTACTTTTCAATATTATAGGCTTTGTTCTTTGATTTCATAAGTTTCATTATCATTTAATTCTTTAATTTTCTTGGTGGGTTTTGTTTTTCATTTTAACTTTGTTCTTTACTCCGTTATTATTATATTTTTTTTTGTATATCAAAATTACTATAAAAATTACTAGTTCTATTAAAAATAAAATATAAATTTTATAATGTTTCTCTATTAGTAAACTTTAATTAAATAATTTTTAACCATACAGTATATTATTATTTTATTGCATAAAATTAAAAACTTTTTGCAAATTAAAGTATTGCAAATTTTTAATAAAATAAATTAAAAATTGACCAATTAAAATATAGTATAAAGTCATATGATTAAGGTCATCATAGTAACAGAACTAACACTCTTATTTATTTATTATATTTATTTTATCTATTTTATTAATTATTTTCATTTTTAAATTTCATTATAAATAGTATTAAGTTGAAGGAACAGATAAGAATTGTATTATAGTATTCAAATTATATGAAAAGAGTATTATTTCCAGTAGTATAATTCAAAGACTATTTCTATTTGTACACTACGTGTGTAAATACAGGTCACGTGATTATTGTCGTTTTCAGTGATCTGCATAAAAAATTTCCTATTTTGGAAATTGTGTAATGCATTTTCATTTTTTACTGAAAAGCAAAATTGCTTTTTTGGTTGTGTAACGTTACTCTAATTTCCAAAATTGGAAATTACAGTAATTTTTGGCTGGAATTATAAATTTGGCCGAAATTTTCAGGTGTGGCATATAATATGTGACAAATAAGGTTTTTCCTATCGAAAAAATTCTAAGTCCTTAGAATAAATAGTAAAAATGGAAAACTATAGGGGTGTAACATGGATGACAAATTATAGTCACGTGATATGTGTTTCGCACACTAGTGTATATTAAGAAATTATCTAATTCAAAATAGTTAATTTTACGAACAAAAGATTATCTATATTTTTTTTGTTATATCTAAAAAATCTTATATTATTTTAATAAAAACCTATTTTCTTTAACTGAACATCAAATATTATTTCATATGATTATTTGTTATTAACTTAAAACTCTTCTATTAAGTTAAACTCTAGTTAATCTGTTAAAGTATTAAAGTTTTTCAGTCACTTTAATTGATAATAGGATAACAATACTTAAAATAAGAATTTTATAATATAATATATATTTATATTTAATTTAAATATTTAAATAATTTTTGATGATTGCATCCTTCTGGATGGATATAGCTTATAATAATTTGTTTGTATGGTATATGAACTTAATATTAATAAAGTATATATAAATCATTAAAAAAATAAATAAATAAATAAATAAATATTTAAATGATTTTTACTTTAAATCACCAGAGGTAATCATCACCATTAGCTGGAATTATCAATTTTTACCAGCACTATATTTTTTTAATGCTGGTTGATCATCATAATTTCAGTAACCAGTAATCATCACCCTCGGTGATAGTTAGAAAAATTCTATTTAAATTATTATTTTTTTTAGATGTTTAATTATAAAAGTAATAGTAAAATTAATTAATAACTGTTTATATATAATATATAAATCAAGATCTGATAGGTTGCATCCTATAAAACCCTTTTATTGTTTTTAAGTTTATTATAAAAAAAGATCTTTATACTTATATTTCTAGATATTTATAATTTAACATTAAGTAAACTTATTTATTTATTTTCTATTTTGAAACTACAAATAAGCTGATCTAATGCATTTTTATTAATAATAATTTTGCTATATTCATTTCTAATTTTATTTTTTCTAATTGCAATTATTTTTTAATTCTTTAATTTCTAATTATTATTTTATTTATTAATTAAAAGCTTTATTTTCAGTAGAATTTAAACTACTAATAATATTATTTGCTTTTTTTAATCATTTTTATTAGTCATTACTTAGTATATTACTTATTGAATTCAATAATTAATTGGAATAGTAAACTTTCCAGTTATTAAAATAATTTGTAATTTTTCCATAAAATAGTATAGCTTTAATTAATAAGTCAATTAGTCAAATATATCTAATAGTTTGCAATCCATTTTTCTTATTAAAATTCACTGTAAATATTTAACAAAATTTCCAATTTATTTTAGTTTTCATTCAAGCAATTTGCATTAAAATATTAATCTATTAATAATTAAAAAACTGAAAATTTTAATATTTTAATAAATTAACTAGAGTTTATTAACTAATTAGAAGAGTTTTATATTAATCTCAAATAATTACATAAAAATACATTGAATGTTTAATTAAAGAAAATTAGATTTTATTAATATAATTATAATATATATTTTAAAAAAAGAAAATTAAATCATTAATTGTAATTAAAGTTCCAAATAGGTCAGTTCAGTGCAGTTTTTTTCTGGTTCAGGTAGGAACTGAAATTGAATGAAAACTGAACCAAAACCATCTAGTTCGATTCAGTTCTATTCGATTTTTAAAAAAATGCGACAATTGAAATAATTTAGCAGCTAGTGATCGTATAAAAATGAGCAATAGCTCATTAGAATTGTTTTATCGAGACGCATCGAATGGTGGTAAGATCATATATTTAGCTTAGATATATTACGAGATAATCAATGCTAAACAATTTTTAAGAAACTAGTGCTAGAATTGTATCTATTAATTAAGGTTGCTTGCCGAAACCTAGGGGTTTAGGCAAGATGGCGTTTCGCCGAAAAGCAAAATTCTGCCGAAACTATATTAAAGTTATATTAAAAAACTGGCGAAACTTTGGAGAAAGGCGAAACTGCTGAAACTTATTATAAATGCCGAAACTGCCGAAACTCTGCCGAAACTATAAT